AGTAGCTGGTTTATTTCATTGGTGAATGAGTGTGAAATTTCAGAAGTATGTCAGATTAATTTGGAGAGCCCTCCCCTTAGTCATTTTTTGGTCTCTTTGGAAGCATATGAATGATTGTGTATTCTCCAAGGCTCAGCCCAATTTTTTTGGACCGCTTGAACTCATCAAAATTAGAACTACCATTTGGCTCAAAGCATCAGTCAAGGATTTCCCCATCTTAGTGGATAATATAGTTTTCAAGTGGAAGCAAATCAGGGGCTCAGTTTGATCTTCTTTGCTGCTGAATTAGTATGCCAGCTGATTCATCTTATGCTGGTTTTGGCTCTGTTCGGAAGGTGAAACACTATGTGTTTGTGTGCAATAGTATGGACTAAACACACTAAAACACACACAAGAGGGAAAAAGAGAGAGATAAGGTGTAACAAACCCTAACCCTAGATCTCAAACCCTAACAATGGCTGTCTAAGCTCTCAAAATATCTTAAGTCTTTAAACGTGCCCTAATCTACCATCGTAAGCAGGTAAATAAAAGGGAAGGAAGACGTGAGGTTGGAAGACATACACACACTCACGCACACTTCTTACATATTTACCCTCACTCGGAGGGACCAAATAAATATTACAAATTAATTAACTACGCAAGCCAATTAATAATTACAAATTGCCTAATCAACTAAGCAAATTAACTAAAACTAAGAAAACAGGAAAGACGCCTCGGGAAACGCGCCGCCATGCATAGGCTGCCTCTGTTTTCCTTCCTTCACTCCTCTGGAGGCTGTCAAAACCTCAGGACTGCATCCCTGGACACTGGGGAGTGCCACCGGCTGAGTGGAATTACCACCGGCAGTGGTGTGTGGCCATCGGCACAAAATGAAGCTGTCGGCAGAAAAATTGTTACCGGTCGGCACCTTACACTGCCGGTCGGCAGAGTGTTCCTGCAGAATCTGCAAATGACAGCAACAGAGGGCAAGGCAAAACATGGCAGCACAACTCAAGGCATATATGCACCAACCATGTCCCTTATCATGATAATGACTCAAAGGGGCATGTGCCTCGATTCTCGGACCACCAATCACGCATTTCCATGCATGATGGCTCAAAGAACTAAGTATGCAACTTTGATTTCAAATGCATGCAAACCAAATCAAACCAAACAAGGCCCAATTCCTATCACTAAGTCAAGGAACAAAGCATGCATGCAAAATGCAATGCAACTTAGGCATGCAAGCTAAGGATGCAACATGGCATGGCGATACACTTAGGCAACAAACCTATGCAAGCATACAAGCAAACATGAGGCAATGCTATCCAATAAAAAGGTGGTCTTGAACATGATTTGGGCAGCTCTAATAGGGCCCAAAACAGTAGCCAAAATGCTAAAAAATGGAGGCTAAATACATACACACATGCACATAATCGAGGGCCAACACTTAAGCACAAATTGAACAACTCTCAAACACATTTCAAAGGGGGTAATCATGGACACATAGCATGTAACATAAGCATTGAAATCATGCTAAAACATGGTGCCAAACCAAGCAATAAATCAAGCCAAGCATGCAACAAATGGCCCAAATGCTCAAAGCAAACCAATAGAGTATTGAACTACACTTAGCAAGACCAAACATGGCATGAACTCATTGACCAAAAACAAAGTTTTGGGATATTAATACAAGGCCTAAGGACCACTTAGATGGCATCCAAATGACTCAAAAAACAAAGGCATGCATAAACACCAAAACATGGAGCATTGCTACACAAGCTTATGAGGCATTGAAAATGCATTCAAGGCAAACACATAGGCATGAAAATGGGACTGAAATAACATATAAGGTGACCCCAAATCACCAAATCAATGCAAAGATGTCATGCTATACATTCATATGCTCAAGGCCAACAAGCCCAAATACAAAGGAGCTATACCAAGCATGCCAAAATCAACCCAAACACTTATGGACAGACCTAAAACATGTCAAGATAAGCACAAAATCTTCACAAATGTAAGCCTAAAACATGCTAGAAACAAAGGCACACAACCTAAGACATATTAAGGCATAACAAGGCATTACATGGAAACTATGCTAAGCATGCATGGAGTACCAAAACCAACAAAAAACAGAGGTATAATACAACATATTAAGCATGGAAAGCAGCCAAGACATGGTCAATACACACTCTATCATGATGCTCCCTCAAGAGGCCAAAACATGCCCTTTTCAAGGACAACAAGGAGAGGGGGTGGCCCTCTCCTTCTTGGGACTTCAAGGCATCACCTTCACCACTGAAACCCCTCAAGATTTCAGTGGTGAAGAGACCCCAACACCAAAATCCCGGAGCTAGCACAAAATGGCTCAAAATGAGGCCTTTCAAGGCCTAAGGGGGGTCAACCACCCTCAAACAACAAAACACTCTAAATAAACAATAAAGAGGGCCTAAAAACAGAACTTTTTTGTATTACTCACTAAGCCCAAAAACGAATTTAAGATAGGTAGAAATACAATGAAAAAATGGGGTAAAAAGGGGGAAAATTCTTACCCTTGATGACCCCTTCAACAATGGTGCTCCAATGGCCCTCCTTGGCTTGAAAATCAGCTTCAAAACTTTCAAAATTAGTCTCCTAGAGAACCTTAGCTCCAAGAGGAAGTGAAACACTAGGTGCTTGTGTGCAATAGTATGGACTAAAACACACACAAGAGCCACAAAAGAGAGGGAAAGAGAGATAGAGTGTATATCATAACCCTAACCTAGAACTCAAACACCTAAACAGAGCTGTCTAAGCTCTCAAAAAATCTTTAGTGTCCCTCTCCTCAAGCCAAGAGACCACCCTCTCTCTATATGGCACTTCTTGTCTTATAAAGCTTACAAGACAAGCTTCATAAGAGGAGATCCCTCCATACACGTGTATGGAGGGAAGCAAAAAGCAAAGACAGCTGTTCTTAAAATATCTGCAAAAGCAGATGCACAGTAGTCGGCCGGCCAAAAATGCCATCTTGGCCAAAAGAGTGCGGCCGGCACTTAAAAGTGCTGACCGGAAACAAATAGTGCCAATATAGTTGCGTGATGGATGGACACAAAATCAGGCAGAAACCAGCCGGTGCCTCTAGCCACTGCCGGTGGTGGGTGGGGATGGTCTACAAGCCCTACCCTGCCTCTCCAAGGCAAAACACAAGTGTTTGGTGTGAAACCAGACACTAAACGGTCGAGTTCGGAGATCCTGAGGCAAGGCACGCGAGCCGAGGCCTCCGGGAACTCCAAACGAACACAAACATGGATGATCACCGAGTGTCCAAACGGTGACGTCCAAGTCTTGAGGATGGTCAAAAATGGGGTGTCTACAGATGTCAAGCTTTGGCTTCCAGGATAAGTGGATTAGGTGGATGAAGGCGTGTATACAATCAGTTAAAGTTTCAGTTCTTGTTAATGGTTCCTCGACTAATGAATTCTGCCCAGAAAAAGGACTCAGACAAGGGGATCCGTTGTCTCCTTTTCTTTTTAATATAGTGGCTGAGGGTTTGAATATATTATTTCAAAGAGCTAAAGCATTGGAGTTAATCAAAGGTGTTGTGATTGGCCTAAGGAAGGTTAATGTCACCCATTTGCAATTTGCAAATGACACAATTGTGTTCTGTGAGGCGGAAGAGAATGACATTTTGAATGTTAAGAGAATCTTGAGGTGTTTTGAAGTGCTTTCTAGATTGAAGATTAATTTTCATAAGAGTTTAGTTTGTGGAGTAGGTGTACAGGAGGCTGAGGTAAATGTTTTCGCCGGAAGATTGAATTGTATGATCCAGAAGTTACCTTTCATGTATCTGGGTTTACCACTGGAGGCCAGCCCGAGGAGGAAAAGCACATGGTTGCCGGTAATCAATAAATTCAAGTCTAGGCTAGCATCTTGGAAAAGGAAATTACTATCATTTGGAGGTAGGTTAACACCGATCAAAGCAGTGCTATCTTCTTTACTAGTGTACTAACTCTCTTTGTTTAAATTTCCTGCAAATGTATCAAAATTGCTGGACAAATTCAGGCCAGGTTTTTGTGGGGAGGTTCAAAACTCAAAAAAAAGATCCATCTGGTAAAATTGGAGGAGGTTACCAAAACAAAGCACTTGGGAGGTTTGGGGATTAAGAAATTGAAGGAAGTTAATGATTGTTTACTAGCCAAATGGTGGTGGAGATATGGTAGTGAGGACCGTGTGTTGTGGAAAGACATTTTGATTAGTAAATATGGCAACTCTGGAGGAAGGTGGAGACCAAATTCTCGTAGCAGTGCCCAGTGTTCAAGAGTCCGGAGTGATATTCTCAGGTTGGAACACAACAATTCTAACCTATTTTGCTTCTTTATGGATAATTTTGTCATTCAAGTAGGGAATGGTAAGAGGGTTAGATTTTGGGAGGATAGTTGGGCTACCTACAAATGCTTGAAGGAGGATTTTCCTAGATTTGAGTTGTCAGTAGAAAAAGAGGTCACTATTAAACAGATGATAGATAAAAGAAATGGCTTATCTGAATGGAAGCTGAGTTTTAGAAGGAATCTGAAAGTTAGGCAGGAGGTTGAGATGGAAAGACTACAGTCCCTTTTGCTTTCATATGACCCATCTTTATCAGAAAAAGCTGATTCATTGGCTTGGCAGGCGTCATCTTCAGGTATGTTCACAGTTAATTCAATTTATAATAGAAGATGTGTGGAGCAGATCTTGGGGACATCAAGGCTTCTTTGGAATAATATTTCTCCACCAAAAGTTCAGTTTTTTTGTTGGCTCGCTTGGAAGAGTAGAATCAAATCAAGAGCTTTCCTCCAAAGAGTGGGGTGTCTTAGTAATGAGGCTCAATTGAACTGTTTTTTTTGCAGCTCTGAGGTGGAATCAGGGTGTCATGTTCTGGTGCAGTGCCCTTTTGTTTGGAGGATCTGGACAAATTTGCTGAATTGGTAGGGTTTGATTTGGGTGATATCTGAAAAGCCCAAAGGGGTATTGGATTGGTGGAGAGGGTACAAATGGAGAAAAATTGAACAAAAAACCTGGGAAGCAATTCCTTTGGCAGTTCTATGGTCTGTGTGGAGGCTTTGAAATGAGTGTATCTTTAATGAAAAACAACCTATATTGGAGGAGGCTTGTGAGCTAATTAAAACTAGAGTTGCATTCTGGATTATAGCAACCTCTAGTGAGTTCCAATACTCAGTGCATGATGTGGTGGCCAATTTGGATCAGGTAAGGCATGTATTACATTGTGGCTGATTTGGTGGTATTGTTGGGGGTTTTATTGTCTACATTGGTGAGCAAATTGGGGTAAGTCATATCAGGAATCCAAAGATGTTTTTGTGTAGTCCTACGAAGACATGCTTAGAATCGATCTCGAGATTGTATAACATTGGATCCCAAGTAACCCTGAGGCTCGACTAGTCAAGCAGAAATTGCGTAGAATTCACCCGGATTGGGCGTTGAAAATCAAGGAAGAGGTTACCAAGTAGATTAATTCAGGATTCGTGTTAGTATCCGAGTATCTGACCTAGTTGGCCAACATCGTCCTAGTGTCAAAGAAGGATGGTAGAATTAGGGTTTGCGTCGACTTTCGGGACTTGAACAGAGCCAATCTAAATGATGACTTTCCTCTGCCACACATTGATGAGTTGGTAGACTTCACTGTGGGCCATGCGTTGTTATCATTTATGGATGGGTTTTTCGGGTACAACCAAATTCTGATGGCCCTTTAGGATAGAGAAAAGACCTCATACACTACTCTGTGGGGTACCTACTGCTGCTGGGTTATGCTGTTTGGGTTGAAAAATGCTGCAGCTACCTACCAGAAGGTTGCGACCACCATTCTGTACGACATGATCCACAAAGAGGTTGAGGTGTACATGGACGACATGATTGCCAAGTTCAAAGAATGAGAGGGCCACTACACTGCGCTGGAGAAATTCTTTCAACGGATCAGGGAATACAGATTAAGGTTAAACCTACAGAACTGCATCTTCAGCGTAACGGCAGGAAAAATGCTGGGCTTTTTTATCACATAGAGGGGAATTGAAGTAGATCCTTCCAAAATCAAGGACATCTTAGAAATGCCACCAACAAGGACTGAAATGGAGGTGCGTGGCTTTCTGGGTAAAGTGCAATTTATAAAACGATTTAATTTCAAATTAACCTTGACTTGTGAACCATTATTTGGTCTCTTGGAGAAAGGGAAGAAATTCTGATGGGATGATTGATGTCAGTTTGCCTTTGAACAGGTTAAGCAATACCTCCAGAATCCGCCTATGTTGTCGCCACCGGAGCTGGGGAAGCCTTTAATTCTGTACTTTTCAGTGATAGATACGGCCATAGGATGCATGCTTGCTCAGGAATCTGAAGATAAGGTGGAGAAACCCATCTACTACTTGAGCAAGTAAATGCTAGACTACGAGACCCAGTACACTTCTTTGGAGAAAGCTTGCCTAGCCTTGGTATAGGCTACCAGGAAGTTGAAGCACAACTTATTAGCTCACTCTATAATCCTAGTTTCGAGATTAGATCCCATTAAATATCTCTTTGAGAAATGAGCGCTTACAGGTAGGCTGGCTCGTTGGTTGTTTCTTCTCTCTGAATTTGATCTCAAATATGTCACCTGCAAGTCAGTTAAAGAAAGCGTTGTAGCGGAGTTCCTGGCAAACCACCCGGTTGAAGGAGATAAGGCAGTGGAATACTTGTTCCCAGATGAAGACATTCTGTAAGTTGATGAGAAAACTTGGACGATGTATTGACGGAGCGTCCAATCAGTATGATTTTGGGATAAGTGTGTTGCTGATAGCACGGGACGACTCCCATATACCTTTAGCCTTCAAACTCCGATTCAAGAAGTTCGACAATGAAGTAGAATATGAAGTGTGCATTGCTAGTTTAGAAGTCGCCCTAGAACTAGGGGCACTAAGGTTGGATGTCATCGGGGAATCGAGCTTGGTTGTTCTCAAGTAAACGGAGACTGGAAAGTCAAAGAAGAGAAGATGAAGGTTTACCATCAAACCTTGGATGTTCTGATTCCGAGGTTTGAAAAGTTAACATTCACGCATCTACTGAGAAAGAACAACCGGTTCGTTGATGCTTTAGCAACTCTATCTTCTATGGTAGACATCCCACTTGGAGTCTGGATGCGTCCGATTATCATCAAACAAAAATATAAGCCGGCGTATGAAACTATTGCCGCGATAGATGAAGTGCAAGACAAAAACCCCTGGTATTATGATATTTAGAACTTTCTAGAAAAGGAGACGTATCCACCAAGGGCAAATGCCAAAGACAAATGGGGAATACGGCATCTGGCCATCCAATTTATCATCTGCGGAGGTAAGCTGTATAAAAGAGGTCATCTGGGAATGCATAAATTGTGTGTAGAGGAAGAGGAATAGAAGCGCCTTATGGAGGCTATCCATAGCGAAGAATGCGAGGCGCATATAAATGGTGTGACGCTAGCCCAGAAGATCCTCAGATAAGGTTATTACCGGTCCACTATGGAGGAGGATTGTATTGGTTTTGTACGGCGATTTCACAAATGTCAAATTCATGCCAATCGCATGAATATTCCACCATCAAAGCTTTACAACATGACTTTGCCATGGCCTTTCTCAGTCTGGGGAATCGATGTTATCGGTGTAGTCTCGCCAAAAGGATCGAATGGACATGAGTATATCCTGGTAAAGATTGATTATTTTACAAAGTGGATGGAGGCTCAGTCCTATGCCGTGTTGAAAGCATCGCATGTGGCCAAATTTATCAGAAATAATATCATCTGCTAGTATGGAGTTCCAAATGAAATCATCTTAGATAACGGCTCACACTTCAAGAAAGAGGTGGCGGATCTGCTTGAGAAATAAACATGGTTTTTCACAAGTCATCGATATATAGACCACAGACTAATGAAGCGATTGAGGCTGCTAATAAGAATATCAAGAACATCTTGCAGAAGATGGTTGAAACCTATAGGGATTGGCCAGATAAACTGTCATTCACACTCTGCGGTTATAGAACCTCGACCTGAACATCTACAGGGGCAGCCCCTTATTCTCTCGATTATGAGATGGAATCTGTTTTGCCAATTGAAATTGAAGTGCCATCGCTGCGAGGTATGGATGAGTGTCAGATAGCGGAGGCAGACTGGCAATAGAGCAGGTTTGAGGAGTTAATTCTATTTGACAAGAGGAGGCTAAAGGCATTGTATCATGTTCAGGGCTACCAGCGCAGAATTGCCAACACTATTTGTGGCCGGACGCCCACTATTAGTGGCCTGTCGGCCACTAGTGCAAAAAATCAGATATTTTTTGCCAGTTGTCTCCACAGATACATACATCATTCCTACTGTGTTTGTATGGATATTTTCGAGGGTCTCTCATATATTTCTATATATAGATGACCTTCTCTTTAGTTAGAGAGGTAAGAAAAAAATTTGAATTTAGAAAATTTTGGAGTGCAAAATTTTGAAAATTTTCTCTCTCTCTCTCGCAACTTACATAACCGTTGCCAAAACACTCTAAACAAAACCTACAGAGTTCCTTAATGAGGTGATTTGAGCTTGCGTTTTATCTCTTAAGGCTCTTGAGAGTGTGAAATAGGGGTTTGGAAATTCAAGGGATCATTCCTCTTCAAGAGGAAAGAACCAACATTAGTGGCCAGCAAACCACTTTTACTGGGCAGCGGGCCACTATTAGTGGCTGACCGGCCACTACTTTTGGATTGCCGGCCACTTCTTTCAGCCAGGCAGCATCCATTTTCCAGCAAAGAAGAGCAAAGGCTGAGGTGAGAAAACAATGCAATTTTCTAACTGTGCAACAAAGGCATTTTGGTAGCAAAACTGAGGGCTTTTTCGGGTGGAAATCCATATCCATGCATAAACCGTCCCTTGATTCTTGGGATCCGTTAAAATGATGTTATAATATTAGTATGTTCTACTTAGAGTAACAGACTTGTAAGTAATTAGTTAAATCAGTTCGGGGCATGTATGTTTTCTAATTATTTTGCTTGTTTTGGCTAGCTTCATAGTACTAGGTGAGCATTTTTGTTGCTTTAGCATATTACATATGTGTGATTGTTGTCATGTCAAGCATGATTACCATGAGGCTAACTACTTAAGTGATAAATTGTTTGAATGCATGTGAATGAAGGCTAATTGGTTAAACTAGAATAGTTTGATTGAAATACATATGAGTTCACTTTTTCAAGTGGCACATATTCAAAACAATTTTCAAAAGCAAACTTGAAATCAAATGTTCCAATTTTTTAGCATCACATAGTAAAGTTAGTCTAATAATTGGAACAAAAGCATATAATGTAACTAAGAATCATATCATAATTAGTAGAGGCCGATCTTTGATCGGGCGAGTGGGGTGCTCAATTCATGACCTTCCCCTGTCGTACTTAAGTTCCCGAGCCGAGACAATTTTGGTGATGACAGACACGTAGCCTTTGGCATGAGTCATGGGTTTCCTAAATTTCTCAAATATATTTATAACAAATTTGGGATTTAAAGACGAAAGAAATTTGTCTCAAAATGTACACATTTCGTCACCCAAACTAATTACGACCTAAAGTTTTCGTCATCCGTTTTATCACCAAAGCGTCGTCGCTAAAAGGTCTTAAAGACGAAAAAATAAATTCATCATCAAAAACGATAAATTTGTGACGATTTTTTTTTGTCTCCAATACACTCTGTTGAGAACATACTTGTAAGTAATTAGCGACAAAATATTTTGTCATAAATATAAGAAATAGGGACGGAATAATTTTGTCACGTTTAATATAAACGAAGATGAAAAAAATTTGTCAAAGAAACCACCAATAGACAAAAACAAATTCATCATTAAAAATGATGAAAAAATGTCAAAAAAAATTCGTCACACATTTAGGGTAATAGTGACAAAATGTGACAATATTTTTCGTCATGACAAATTCATTTAG